TCGATATTTGCAGTTGAAATTTTTTGAATGCCCAAGTTTTTCCAGCAGCTGTTGGAAGCTGAGATAATTTGTTGACACTTTCGAACCATGTTATCGCTAGATTTAAACCTCATCAGACACATCTCTCACTGCCGTACAACTGAGGCAAAAGATCACTAGATCAGCCTCGCATCGTTTAGCGGCATCTGCTGGAATCGCTCAGAAAATATGTCCTCTTCACCCTTGTCCAAACTCTGGAGGGTCTGAAAGATGTGGGATGCGACACATCACAAAGAAAAATAGAAGCGCATGTTGTTTGTTGGTCAATTGGAAAAAGTTGGGTGTTTTCTCAGACAACAGGTTCCTAATGGAAGCAAGAAACGTTTGGACACCGATAGCGGGGGCAAAGGGAGGATGGAAAGTACAATTTGTTGATAAATCATCAAAATTCCTGAAACTACAGTCACACAGACACGCGAGGTATCAAGATTCAAATAACAATCAACTGTCTCAACACTTTCGTCTTGGACTTAATTGTGCTAAAAGCAGTTTCACAGTACATGTACAGGTATTTGATGTAATTCAGAAATGCCTTTTGCACATGGCATTTTTCAAGTTTCAAAAGACCCAAAATGTCCGTGTATGGCTTTCCTTTCAAATCTCTGTTCACTATTTCTAAGTTCAATAGCAGGGAAAGAACGAATGAGTTGTGCTAAGCACTCTACACAACTTGTGTAGAAATGATAGGAATCCTGGAAATTACATGTTTGTCAGCAGTGCAGTTCAATGTTTTAGGAGAGAAAGCCTTCTTTATTTTGCTAAGAGCAACGCCCTTTAAACTGCCAGTCGGTGTATAAAAAGCTTTCAAAGTTCTTCTTTTCAGAGACATTCAATTCTTTTATTGTACAGGGTGAACTCACAGAGAGTTTACTATGTAGTTGTCAGAATCTTTACTTTAAATTTGACTGCTAAGTCCAGTAGGAAACTATAATTTTTTTCAAAAGTAAATGGGAACTTCAGTTTGTTTCGAAAAGGCAGAGATTTTATTGGCCAACGGTCATATGTTTGGGCTCCTTATCAGATATGAAACAATAGAAACTCCATTACTGTCTACATTCCTGTTTTTTGCCGTAGTTTATTGTGGTCGAAGTCAAGTACCCTGCCTTTCGCACTTGAAATACCAGTTGCTAGCAAGTGAGGTATCGCTGTCACCGATACTGACAGCTCTCAATTTTGGGAATCATATCGCCTCCTGAATGCTCAGACTGTTTGTGCATTCACCTCCTGACACACTGATAGTAAATCTGTCGTCACTAAGATAATTGAAACAATGTTTTTTCTGTTTCCACAAATCATAGAAAACATCTCCCCCACTTGGCTGAGACGAATATTGGGTGACAGTAAAAGCCCACTAATTGGCCAAACATTGTGAATAAAAATATGCCAAAAACTTCCAAATTTATTTTGTTCGAAACTTCAAAAAAGGACAACGTGCTGTTTTTCAGACAATGAATCAACAGCATTCTGGTAAATATTCTAGTTTCGAAACAAGTGACAGTTCAGACACACATTTGAAGACAATTCTCACCAATTAATTCGGCAGTTGAGCACTGATGCTATCCTGCAATAAATTAGAGTTGACATTCTGGTGAAGTTTTGACATCGTTGCAGATTGGACATTATCCATACCGATTATATTGGGAAAATATTTGTAAAAAATTCTTCCATGACTCATTTTTGGACAGCTGACTTTCACAGTTCCGGTACTTCCTTATCTTAGCCCATCATAATTGAGATCTTTCTGTTATAAATATAAAATACTTATAATAATATTCTTTGCTAAGTCAGCACTTCCTGTCATCTCTATTTGAAGCACTACAGTTGTTTCTGTCAATTAAACTAGCTATTTGGAATGCGGGACATATATTCTAGTATGGTTCTGTACATCAGTAAACCAGTGATATACTTTTCAGTCTCAAAATCCTCTGAAGTAAATTTTAAAAGCATTTTTGACTATTGAACTTTCGGTAACATTTTTTTCTTCCAAGTCACAATCATAACCAAGCAACATTTCTTTGAAAACCTAATTTACAAACGGGGACGTCATGTAAAAAAAAAAAATTACATTGATCTCTCACTGCTTGATCACATCTGCTTAACCCCAATCAGAGAGGCCAGAGCCTTCCCTTGATATATACAGCCGCCGGTAACCTTTACCCAGCCCCATGAATCAATCTGCATACTGCATAGCAAACTGGGAACGTGGCGCTGGTACCCTGTCCCGGCTCCCATCGAAACAACCCCATGCTAGGCTCGCCCTTCCCTGACCTCTGACCCTTGGGGTGTGCTCCTCCGAGAAAACTTTGAACAACTTTTCTTTCTTTTTTTGGCACGTGGATTTTGGATTAATCAAAGCCTGACGGGGCAAAGCTCTCTTATCGTGCCTCATTTGCACCAACCCGTGTGAGGAAACCTCCCAACACTTTGGACTCGGTTCGGGCTTGGATCAGCATTCGGAAAAAAGTGAACTTATGACACGAATTAGAGTAATTTTGACATTTGTTTGGCAAATGAGATTTGGGTCAAATACAAAGGGGGTGATAAATCAATGTTCCGAAAGTCACAGAGCCTCACAGCTAGATTCCAGCAGAAGATGACTTCATAATACCTCTGGGCGCGTAAAAATGTTCACATCAGCATTGAAATGGTTAAGGCAGGGGTCAGTAAAACTACCCACCACATGTAGCAGTTTCAGACCGTGACATCACTCCCGCACATGCTGAAGTGCTCTGAACCCTAATAAATTAACTACCAACTCCATGCCGTGGCTCCTTCCCAATTTTGTCCAATTGGCAACAGTTGGGTTTCTCATCAGAAAAGTATCTACTAATATACGTGTAATAGATATACACATTTGCTGATATTTCAAGAAATTCAAATGGCATTGCACGTATAATTTCCTCCAAACCAGTTTTTATATATGGCTTTTGCACTTTTCGAAAAGGTGAAGACCTTTGTTCCATAACCGCCAGAATTTTTGCAGAAGCTGAGGTACATAATCGATTTTCCAACTGAACCACATTTTGTACATGCGCATGTACAAGTTTGGCCATCAGGCATTGTATGTTAATTCCTTCCCACAAACTGCACATCGATCGCAACGAGGACACATTTCGTCGACTGGTTTTTGTCAACTAAATTCCAAATTTACACAGAAACCAATTAAACTCGCCTATCACCAAATCCCGGGCTTTAACTCCACATCCTCATAATCCCTCATTACTCACAAACGCACTGCCAAGAAAACAAAACTCTCAGTAATTACCAGACAGAAATCATAGCCAAGGTCAGTCCTGTAAATCCAGCAAGGCGTGGGCTGGACTTCGAAAAGGAATTCATCAGAACATGAACCCCATCACGGGGGTCAGAAAACAAATTGTGGCTTTCGGGGTCCAGACATCTTAATCTGGTCTAGCACTGGGAGAGCACAAGAGCCAATCCCGGGCTCATGTTCCAAATCTGTAAAAATTTCTCGTTGAGAAATCCCAGCTTCAGTTGCCAAAAAAAAATTTGTTATTTTATACAAAGTCTGCAAGCTGACAAATTTTTCAAGTGAAAAGAAAAAATCTTCTTTTTTTTAACCCACTTTTTTTGCAAGCATTGCTGAAATATGCCAGACTTAAATTGAAACTTTTCTTCGGTTTTAAGATCGTGTGGAATGCTTCAACCTGGATCTTAGTCCAAACTCATGTAATCTTTTGATCCCCAAGGCCTGAATCCTCCAAATCTGGATGAAATTTCCCAGACTGATGTGTCCAAAAAACATAGTTCACAAACTTCTTGTCAGGAGTTGTGTCTGTTCATTGTTCGGTGATCAGTGTTGATTTGAAATGAAATGTTGAAATTGTATTCCCCTGACTCAGTTTCAAGCTATTTGTGAATTATCTAAGAGGAGCATTTGAAAGAAATTCGATTTTATATTTTGTAGGTCTAAACAGAACTTGTGATAGTGAAGATATTTATTTGATTTTCAAAACTGAATTAAAAATTGTAGCAAAAACATATTTTTTTGGTCAGAAACATTCCCCCTTTTCAGGTAATGTCGGAAATGTTTACTGGCGACCTTTATGATTTGTAGGTACGTTACATGTATTTTGCATGCCTGAAAACACATTACTTTAGTAATTGTTGAAAAAAAGTAAACTTTCTTCCCTGATATTAACAGCAGACATAAATCAAAAGGCAGAATGATAATACATCACTGAACTTGGCCTGCGCACGCGCAGTAACAAAAGTATGATACATCTTCGTGCAATCCTTGGCAAATCCATTTTCTCCTGAGCTATAAAACGACAGAAATTTCCCTCTAAAAATAACACAGCGTAATGAGCTACACAGGGGCCACATACTTCATTTTCAACCACGCTTGACACGCGCAGCCAAAAAAAATGTGCCATGTACTTTCTTATGGTCATCTACTCTAGATTACATTAGACTGGGGGAGCTAATAATGGAGACAGCAGATAGTGCGTGCAATAGCTCAGGGATGATATCATCTTATAACCCATCCCATCTGGGCCTCCATCTGCACCAGCTACTTTTTCAATTAACTCCCTCCTGATGGTCGGGAAACTGGTTCTCATTTCGAAAATTGCTCGGCACTGGCAGAAAAGAAGAGTAAAAAAGAGGGGGAAAAGAGTACAATTTAGCATGTGCATTATTAATATCTGCGCTGATTGAGGTTTTGGGGAGAAAAAATGGTACATTACATGCACATGCATGGTTTAGAGAAACAGGAGTGAGGCGATTCAGTCTGAGCGTATTTTTCCACCGAGTACTGCAGGCTTGGGAATGGAAACAATGCATTCTTGCATGTAAGCGGAAGTATGAGTTGTATGGAAGAGTGACTTATATCAAAGTGACCATAAGGTCCATGAAATCACAAATATGGAATTATTACGAAGGTAATCTTTGAGATATATGCCACACATCAACTTCCTAACCTTAATTTTCTTGTACAGATTAACATCCTACTTTGTGACAGTCAACTGATCCGACCTACTCTGGCCATCAACGTAGCCAGCTCGCCGATTGTATGGCAACATCAACGCTAGACAGCACAGGCCACTCCGACTACCTGACTGCAATATGCCCCCAGCCCCCCTGCCAGTCGCAGCCCCAGCCCCGGCCGACCACGACGTGTAGCACCTCATCCGTGGAGGAGGACTCACGCGATCGGGGCTACGGTTCCAACGAGGCGTTGCGGGCTTACGAGCGGGAGATCCGGCGGGGGCTGGAGCGCGTGCCCAGCTCAGCCATGGATGAAGCAGGTTAGTAGGTTTTGCTTTGATAGTGTCATCGCTTGTTTGGAGAAAGGGCAATTAACCGAATTTTTTTTTTTATTCCGTTGGACCAATTTTGTTGTGTTGCTATATACAGAATTTTCCCAAGCCTGGGAAAATAAGTAGCAAATCAGCATGGCAGCGTTGTTAATCACAAGACAATCACAAGTCGTCAAGTCTCCATTCAAGTGGCAATACAAATAATTGGTGACAAAGACATTCCATCGTCATTGTTTTCACCCTGTTACTTGAAACTTGGCCTATATATTGACTTGTGATTTGCTATTGACTTATTACATCTCTGCTGCCAGTTACCATTGAACATGGTACCTAACTTTTTCTGTGTGTGCAATTAAAGCCCTTACTTGGTTGTATGAAGACCGCCCTCAACTGTACCTGCACAGAGGCAATAAAAGATGAAAGTGGGTGGGTTTTTTGCGGGGGGGGGGGGGGTGTTTTTTTGTTTTGTTTTGGACTTGAGCTGATTAGGAAACCCCATGAGAAGCTTCCAAGTAACCGCTCCAGAGGGCTCACTTCAGGTTAGTGGTTCATTACTTGTTGGAGCACTGGAATTGTCACCTTGAGGTCTCGGTTCTCATCCTTCTTGGGCCAATTTGTGCTTGGTTTTTGTTGGTCATCTTCAAAGGCCGTCAATTTTTTAACTAAAAGTTTACTTTTACTCAATTAAGTGAAGTTACACACCATGTGTGACGTAAGCGCAGCCTTTGGTGTTGGTGACTAATTCTGTACTTTGGAGCGCAGGTTAACTGGTAACCTGACACCTGGTTCCTCACCCCAGAATGCAGAAGTGTTCTGAACCCCATTTCAGTTACGAGGATTAGCTCATCACACACTCAATCATTGTCATCTGTCTCAGGAATTCAATGTTCCCCTTTCTTCCCTCATTTTGGGGTAGTATAATAACTGACTCATCATGTTGTGTGGAGGTCTGCCACCTTTATCTCAGCTCCATAATCCCCCTGTTTACAAGGCCTCTGGCACCCATGGTTTACCCCAGGATTTAGCCCACATGGCATTGGGTCCACTGGCCTGGCAAGATGTCACATTGCCATGCACATTGAAAAGTCAAGAATGTCTCGACTAACAGTGCCTGTAAACAAAAGTTATCAAGAAATGATCATAAAAGTTGTGAATATCAGTGAAAAGGACTCTCGTGGGATCACTGGAGAATGTGGGATAAAAATTCTAGAAGTACATTGTACTGAGTATGATGACACTTTGGAATTAATATGCGGTGACATTACCGACAAAATTGTGGAACTTTTGTGAAGGTATGGGAGTAGATACAATAAGTCAAATTACGTGGAATCTCAATAAGTCAAATCTCAGGGGAATTGACAGAAATAAGGTCTTACTTTGAGTTAGAAGGGTTTTTGAGTTAACAGGTTTTTACTTATCAAGATTTCACTGTAGTTGGTAGTTTCTCCTTTTTTTTATTTGGTAGACATAAAATCATGATAACTTGGAGGTGAATTTATTAGTTTCATCATGGTTTCATTTAATTCCTTTACCACAGAACAAATTGAACAGTGGATTAGTTTTTGAATAAACTTTTTGGTGACTTAGTTTTTTGAAAAGGGGCTTTGCGGCCACTGCAAACTCTTATAATATCAGTTCGGTTTCTGCAGTTTCCATCTGTTTTATTTCAAGTCCATGAATCATCCGTCGTTTTCAAGAAAGTTAATTCACCAGTAACAGGAAGACCAGATGATCAGTCTGGATTCCTGCGTGTACAATTCATCAACAATTACAGCATCACCCCTTTGACGCCATAATCTTGAGGAAGGGATGATACCGCATTGCCTGACAACTGCACATATCTGCCTGGGAAAAAAGTTAGATTTGGAGAAATACTACATACAATGTATGTTTGCCACAAATACATACATTTGTAAGTGAAGGAAGAATCTTTTGGTTATAATGTTTGAGAAAGGTTTGAGGTGAAAATTAGGGTCACAATTTCAGCTTAGTTTTTCACTGTTTAGATTTCCTACGATCAAACGGAAGAATATTTGGTTATAATGTTTGAGAAAGGTTTGAGGTGAAAATTAGGGTCACAATTTCAGCTTAGTTTTTCACTGTTTAGATTTCCTACGATCAAACTCAAATTACATGTATGTATAAAGGGAAAATAAAGACCTCGGTGTTGATTTGATACAATATAGATGTTGATGGGAAAACCATTCGTCATATACTATCAAGTGATTCATAACATAGATGTCCAGACATTTGCTATCATAGTGGGGTACATTACATCATGCTTCTCATTGGAACAAAAAAATTAATAAATCCACTCTGACTGATAGCCATCACATTGTCTTTGGATACCCTACAGTATGTGAGAAAGATGTATTAGCGTAAGTGCACTGGCCTTTCTTTGTTTTTAAACAAGACGAAATCTGAATCATAGACAAATGGGCAGCTCTGATTACATAGGGGAGAGACCCGCCATCCAGTCCATTCATAAGCTCATCACTGAGTCTTCTCTCTGTTTGAGTAATCGATACCCACCCCGGTCTACTCTACCCCCACCTACTAACCAACCTCTTCTCTCCCCCCCCCCCCCCCCCCAACCCCATCCCTCAACAGTCTGAGTCACTCTTGAATACCGCATGTCATTCTGGATCCAAAGCGGCTACTGATGAGAATCCTGAAGTCAAGACCAAGGAAAACCCTGTTACTATCCACCGAGAGGGAGTCCGTAATCAGACATTGCAGTACCTGATCACTAGATGATGCCATTTGGCTGCCGTCATAAATCAACGGTCGCCAGTCCGTGATGCGGAACACTGACGATGCAATGAGAGCAATTCGTTCCAGTTGAGGCGGCCTGTAAATCATCCCCATTGCGGTTGTAAACCCTGCCTACTAAGTCTGTCCCCCTCCCCCTTTATCTTTCTTGACTCGTTTGTCTTCATTTCATCATTGATTTTCACACTCCACACCGACAACCTCAATTACAATCCTTTAAAAAAAAAAGATTGGGAAACTCTTCCTGTTCCTTCAACCAGATTGAGGTTTTTAACCAATCGTCAAGATGTTCGGCGGATGTTTGTTGAAAAGTTTGATGGTTGAAATCCACACAATTCTGTTTACTTACACAGCATCGGTAATCTTTCTTGAACTGCATCACTGTCGTCATTTGAATCGGAAGTTTTTGAACAAGTCGTTTATTTAGGCCTGATGGCCTCTTGTTTTGAAAGTTAAAAATTGCAGGAATTGCCAATCAGTGACGGACAATCTCCAAGTGTTTTTTTTTCCCCTGGACACTGATCACTCTCCAGGGATGTTTTTTCCTACAGGCGATTCCTCTTGATTAAAATTTGGAATCTTCTGTTTTTTATTTTTTGTGGCCCAAATCGCTGAAAGACCCTTCCAAGTCCTGGCACCACTTTTTAATCATCGCCATGTTTTCCCAAAAAGATGAAAGTTCACCCCAATGTAGCAATCTCAATTTGTTTCTGTCTTGAAACCAAAACTCATTAACACTCATCCCCTGTTTATCTTGGATCTGTCACAAATGAACAAGCAACAGTTTCTTGTCATCTCTGATATCTCAAGATTTTTTTTTTTCCTCTTCTCTTTTTTCCCCAACTGGAAATCACCCTCAACAGACGCCAAGAGCCACCTCGTGTAATCCAGCGCCCTACGTGTGTGTATCTCAGTTTTCGCTCCTTTCTCATTAGTCAGGGTTGCCAGGGGCGAAGTCCCGGTAATCCCCCAATCCATTTCGTGAGCAGTCATGGAGGCCTTTCAACCACGGGGCTCGCATACCACACCACCGAACCCGCTGGTCAGGGATTAGCGACACACATGGCGGGGGCTGATTACCTTGTAGGGTGGGGAGGCGAGGGGGGGGGGGGGGATGGAGGCTATTTGTAAATACCTGCATGGAGGGAACAATGCCTAGGAAACAACACTCAAGCTTATGTCAGAAGGGTGTGAAGTTGTCCATTAAAGAAAAGACCCCGCTAATGTGGTGTCAATATTTGACGGGTGAGTCCCTGAGCCTGAGGTTGCTTTTCCAAGTAACTTGTAAAGGCCAGCGTTCAAGAGAGCAACCACTGACTGACAAGCAAGTCGCAGTTTGAATGGATGAGGGGAAAATTTGTCCCATCTAAACAGAAAGTGTTGAGGATTGTGTTAAGTTCTAAAGGAAATACAAAATTTCCTCATCCTTATACTCAAAACTATAAGTTCCAATCATTCAAAAGTTGTAGGAAACATTAGAATAATTCAATGCCCATGGTTAGTCTTTCAATAAATCTAGTACTAGTAAGACTAAGTTGGAATGCATTTTTATGCAATATTGAAGACATTTTCTAAGTTTTCAAATTGATACACTGTAGCTTATTTTTCTTTTCAGATTATATACAGTTTTACCTGGTATTGAATTCATGCTTGATAAGGATAAAGCATTTCAGTTTTACTTTGAATCACATTATTTCTCTTTTTAAAAACTTTAAATCATCAGTAAATTAAGCATTTGGTTCATGAGATATTTGTGCCAAAAAAAAGTTAAAACAGTATGAACACTTCTGTGATTTCAGTTATTAATACTATCATGACACCCCACATGAAATAAAAGTGAGCAAAGTGTATAAAATTAAAGAATGTAAAAAGTGTGCAAAACTGTTTCAGTTGGACAAGATTTGGTGTCTTTTAGCTCCGTAGGATGTATACATGTACATTCACTTACCAAGTTACCTGGTGACTTTTCAGCCAATTGGAGGCTGTTTAATTTCACACAATTTGATCAGTTGGACAAGAATTTGGTGTCTGTAGCTCTGTATGATACATACAGGTACATTCACTTACCAAGTTACCTGGTGACTTTTCAGCCAATGGGAGGCTGTTTAATTTCACACAATTTGATTGGCCCCTGGTTGCCATAAAGACAACTTGTGAGTGACTTGCTGACACCTGGGCCATCTGGTGGTAGGCCCATAGAGCATTGTATAGGCCACAGTTTATTGGGTGGTTTACGGCTGTTCCTTTGGCTATAGAGAAACCTGAGCAGCCTCAGGAGTGTATCTGGCCATTGTTGTCAGGATAATAGCTCCCTGGTATACATGAACTTTGTTGGTTAATTGGCAGACAACACTGGTTGAGTGAGCATTGTGTCTGCTGTTGTAAGCAGCTACATGCACATGCTTAGAAGCTTGAGAGATTTAAAGAAGCTTTTCTGTTTGTTGTGGGTGAGTGTCTGGAGCATGATTGGGTGGCTGTCTCTTGAGCTGTGTGATATCTTACATTGGAACATGGAGTGAAATATGGAGAAAGATTCTGCTTGAGTTTTTTAATTACAAGCTCATATTTAACTGTCTGGTTATTCTGTTTGGTAAGCAGTTTTCCACATTTTGTCTTATTCTCTTATGGTTGGTAACTGAACATAGTTTATAGCAAGTACTTGTTGAGTGCACCTACCGGGTACTGTGGCGAAGGGAAAGTCTGAAATTCTTGGCGTTGCGAATCCATGTACATGTATAGTATGTTTCACGTTATCCTTTGCCAAATGTCAGTAATGCCGGAGTCAAGGTGAAGTGAGCATGTGTAGACATTTGATTTGTCCAAAACATGCATTCATAAATGTGGACCAGGTTTTCAAAATGTAAACCAGGTCAGTAATAAGAGCATCCCAGCATATTCTCAGCAAAGTGGAAGGACTTGTTCTTCACATTTTAGAGCTTCGTGTTCATACTGAGAAAGGTCTTGTCGTTTGTGTTCCTTCCTCCATGTTCTGATGCAGCAACAGAAACTTCTTGGCCAACTGTGTCATCAAATCTTAGTCAGTGTCACTGCCATTTCCGCATCAGCGCCTCTCCGGCTATCACCAAGAAGACAAATCCAGTGCAAGAGATTACCAGTTGACATCAATTATCCAGCTGCCCGGATAAACTCCTTGGATAGATTATGAGATAAACATCTTCATTTCCTCCTGTTTCCCCTGTTTTTCCTGCAGAAACAGCCAGTTATCACTCCTTGACAAGCCAGGGGGAAGAGACCAGAGTGCCCTATGCCAGGCCTCCTAGCTGTGGATCGGATGTGGATGGGGACACAGAGAGCGTGACAGGGACCTGCGCTGATAAACTCATCCGAGAAGCTGATAACTTCCTTCAGGTAGGGAAGTGTTTTTTTTAATGTCACTTAATAAATGTTGTCATAACATCATGGATTAGTTAGCCCTGTAAATGTTCATTTGTTTCAAACTGTTTTACAGAACTTGTCGTGGATTGCTGATTACTGAATGCCAAAACTGTGGAAAGATCCAAAAGTGTTCAATTAAAACACAGAAAATTGGGGGGGGGGGAATCAGAATTGTATTTTGTTATTGGGACTGGGAGAGCATAGCTTACAAATGCGTCAACTTTGTATTTTGTGAAGTGTTGGTATTTTTGTTTCCTTGTCCAACATACAACTTGATCTTGTCCAACTCGTCCAATAGTTGAACAACTTTATCTAAAATAATTTAAGGCTAGTCCTATTTTACATTTAGAATATAAGATATAAAAAAGATTTCTTGCATGGATTAGTTTGATTCATTTCAACATCATGGGGCGGCTGCAGCTGAGATGGATGCAACCAAACTTTTCCAGACTCTCTTGTCCGCCATGGCCATGGTGATGTCATCGACGTGCTGGCTCACATCATTGCACACAGTATCAACATAGTTTATTCATTTATCATAGTCCGGTCTGGAACAACAAAAAAGATTTTCCTCCCAAATCTGCATGTACACTGCTGCCTTATTCAATTTCTCGAGTAGAGAATCACAAGAAGATTGTACAACATAAATGTACACGTGTTCCAGTAACTTGAGCACATTACTCAAGCACAGATAAATTGTCATACTGCAACGCTCCGAACATTCATTATTTTCTAATGTGAAAAATCAACGGAATCTGGTTCTGATTTGCCGTGATTGATTCTCGCTTGCAAGCGCAAATCCATCGGAGAGTCTGAGGATCCCCAGAAGTCTGGGGTTCAGCAATTTCCCCATGCAGTTGATGAATTTTCCAAATGAGGGGTCACGGACCCAGAGGTCACTGACCCCTGCTGAAATTGTTCTGTGAGAGTGTGTACTGAATTGGAATTTGAATACAACAATGTTTATGCATGGGGTTTAGATATACACTTATTCCCATTGTATACATGTACATACTCATAAAATGCGTGTATGTATGCATGTAACTGTGTACGCAGAGATCCCAATAAGAATTTCATGCCAGATTAGGTTTCAATTATGGCCCTGTGTACATTGTATGTCACATTTTTATTTTTTATTGGCTTGGTTTATGATTGGATGATTAGTCACAACCTGTCATTGATATTATTGCCTTCAGACAGTAGCACCTGATATTTTTAATGCTTCAGATAGATTTTCCCGGTTTGCAGGATTGTTGTATAGAGAGTTTTTTTAGCTACGTTTTCTTTTTGAAAGCTGTTCGGTTGGTGTGCTTCAAGTGATTCAATTTTCGTATCCGATTGGCTTGATAGATCCTAATCTATAAATGTTTGCATAGTTAGAGCTTAATATTTGAAACTGTGTCAAAATGGTAAGCAGTGATTGATTACTTACTGTGTGAAGTTAACAGAATTAACTTCATGTCTTCCGGTTCCAACAGATTTGCTTCCGTTTCAGGAACTCGTCAATTTACACTGAACATTAATTCCCGGCCCTGGCTACATTATCCCTCTACTACACTGTCAGAAACATTTTTTTTTTCAAAGCTTACTAATTCTTGTCAAGTAAACCAATCATGATAGACAAGCAGGAAAGGTGCATCACGTCCCCCGAAACCCTAGGGGCGAGACAAAATGACGAATCTATTTCCTGCCCCCTACTTTCTTAAACCACACGTGGTGATCTACATACAAAGAGGTCGCGAACCTGGGCCCAATTATTCAAACTTCCCGTAGTGAATTCATTTGTTCGTTCTTCCCTTAGTCGGCTGACGGGAACTCCGCGGGATCGGAGAGCAGCAGCGGGTCGAGCTTGACTCTGACGGAGACGGAACAGGAGCAGGAAAGTCCCCGGAACACGCCGGCCAGAAAGAGGGGGATCCGGGGAAAGCACAAAGGCAAAGGTAGGGATCTACAAGTAGAAATTGACTTCAGAATGCCCGCTTCATTTGCATTGGTTGCCTGCTGCATCGTATGTGCAACAGTCAATTTGTGACTCGTCTAGTTTTGGGAAATAATGTGAACTCTATGAGGCTGGACTTGAACTAACTTAACAAAATTTAAAAATTAAATTCAGTTTCCATTTCTGAAAATAAATAGTTGCCATCAGGAATATGCCTTTAAGACTCATTCATGCACTTATATTACACGCTACATGCAGGTATCAAATATCAAAACGTTAAGTTAAAATGAAAATTGACAAAGAACGTTTGTTACATTTCTCCAGTTTTATGTACCTTCGGTGGTATTTTTGTCTGAAAAATCTGAAATATGTTTAGTATCACTACAAGTTAGGCCTCCTTTCATCATGACCAGTAATTCTTCCAAGTAACTACTTGCCAGTTTAAACAGTATTCAGCACCCTATTTTTGTAACTTCTCACGCAATTCTGAACTATTTTTAGTTTGGTTATATTAAAGTTTCGTCTTTTTCCATTACCACCAGCAAATCTTCCCAGTAACTACTTGCCAAACTCAAAACAGCATTCAGCGCTCCATTTCTGTAACCTCTCAAGCCGTAAATTTCCTTTTTTCGGCTTGTCTTTTCTCCTGTCGCTACAGTCATTCAGCCATTAACAATCTGCCGTTTCCTGTTACCGAAATGAGAAAATTACATCACAGTGTTCCCCATCCAGTGTTTACACCACGGTTTATACTTGATTCTTCTCCTGTTCCCATACGCCTTGATGTTATGATAAAATGGATGATTTATCCCGCCAGCCGCCCGGCGATGTCATAACAATCTTTCTATCAATCCGGTTTCCAGCTTCCCCATCTGATCAGCAAAAAAAAGTATAAAACCTGCAGTTTATTTATGTAAGAGTCTGGCTGGCCTTTGGAAAAATAACCGCAAAGGAACATTTCATAAACACAGCGCATTTGCGTCGAAGGCGTGAAGTACATGTGGAATTTTCAGATCCGGTCAGGAAAGAGCAGTCGGCCCTGTCAACCGTTTTCAAGTCTAAACATTTTCTTTTAAGATTAGCTCATAAAAAGTACAAACAACCTGCTTGTTCTTGTTAAGATAATTGACATCATTCAGTGGAACAACACTGACAGGAACATTTCGCTATTTCATTTGTTTTTTATGCTAATGTGCCCTTTTTTAAATGAAATTTGTTCACAAAAGGGAAATGTGAATTTCAATAGTAACTTTTTGTTCTTCATCACCATAATTATGTTCATCAACATCATTATGCTCATCAACATAATTATGCAGGATAGAACCCAGTGTATGTGCTTTCTATATCCTTGATCAAATATTTGATAAAATTTTAATTTTCCAACGCCCCTCATGTGTCTTTTTCTGCACCTGGGGTAATAGTGCGGTCAGCCCATCTGCTGCTTGTTCAAACAATTCCTGGCAACTCTCATCCAATCAGATAGCCCGATGTCTCCTATCAGGAGTCAGACTCTACCACAATGTGTCATCTGACAGGGGGGATTAACTCATTAGTGGGTCTTGAGGTTTTGAGGGGGGAACAGCAGACAGAAACTTGTTGGGAGTCTGGAGATTCCAGAGAGTTAATCCCCGTGACAGATGTGGGAGCATGTTGCCTGGAAAAATGACGTGATTTGTTGACTTTCGGCTTAGGTCCCTATCAACAGAGGGATTAACAATGGAATTCGCAATCCGTTACCTGTATCTCAACAACCGCAAATGTTTCTTTCTTCTTCAACTCTTGTGCAGATAGCATAATGTGTGTGTGTGCTTGTGCATGCATGAAGATGATGTGTAATGTTTGCAGTCAACACCCCTCTGGCCAAGAAAATTCCAACGATGGAAAATTCAGACTTTGTGTGTCTTGTTTAAACAGTTTCTTTCCGGCATGCAAACCACCAAACCCCTGAAATGTAAAGATGCCTTTTTGAGTAGTGCGAGAGTCAATTTATTTTGAAGGACAAGGTATAATTGATACAAGCACAATTTTTACATGAATACCCTTTGCAAGTAATCTCAGATACATCCATAATCTGTCACTTGTGGAAACCATAAAGAGGGTGTTCTGTAGTTGCAAGAGGGTGCTAAGAATTAAAAAAAAAAAGACTCATCTTGAATGTCCCCATTCTAAGCCTGCTTTTGCCATTTCGATATCTTTCAAGACAGATGAGTCACTGTATTATGCAGTGAAACGCCTAACTTTTGCTGTACATACTGTACATGTAAAACTATAAGTCCAGATTTGATTGTTGTTTACTCATTGTAAGTACCGCAACATGGGAAAAACATATCCAGGATTTGTGCAAAGTGCGGAAATTGATTACACATGAGGGAATCATCTTTGCTGTCGGAATGAATCTTCAAGAAACAAAAACGAATTTGGGATTTCCCTTTGGAACTGACAGAAATATGGTTAACTCTGAGAATTTAAATTGGAAATGACAGGCCATAAAAAAAGTGGTGTCACTGACATGTGAAAAAATGGCATCAACGGTCACACAAACATGTGTGATCATTGAATACTAAAACTCTTATACACTGTAGTTCTTTCTCCTTTGGGGGAAAAGTGGTTTTGTTTGTTGTTCTGCTTCCAGAATGTTTTATCTGACCAAAATCAGTAGAGTAGACTCTATCATTATGACTGTGGGATAAAGTAAATGAATGCCTCCTTTCCTAAAAAAGTAACAAATCATCTGTGTACCAAAAAACTCCATCAGCTTTGTGAAGTTGTAAAATATTAAATGCTACTTTGTGCATTTTGTAAGTGTAGTGTCACCGCCTGTCGTCGTGATTCTGTTCGCCAATAGTATTTTTAACCCAAAGTCTAAGCCCGCAAGTCAAAAAGCCATGTCATGCAGTTATTTTTAACCAATAGACCTGCCACCCTTTTGTTGCCCTTTTGTACAAATTTAATGAATCACTAATTCTAGGAGGCCTGACACGATATTAGGCCAGACTATGAGGGAGGGTGTGGTGGTCCTCCATTCACCGCTTCCGCTGATAGCAGCAACTTTTGGAAAGGCTTAATTGACCATATCGCTGCTCAAAACCATTCCTAATTGGCAAGGAAGAACCCCTTTGGCAGCAAGTGTATACATGAACTTAATCATGAACATGTAAGCACCTCCGTCTGTGTTCTTATTTACATCAATACAACGGCCGTATCTTTTGTTTTCCCAAGTGATGGTCATTTCATCTGACCAATCACAACCAAGGACTTGGTCACTTGAGTTTGAACTTGACCAATCAGCAGTGGCAAGTAAGACGCAGAGCTGTTAAGACCAATCGTGAAGTGTTGGAGGCTCAGAGGCTTTTTTTGGGACATTCTGTCAACGCCAATTACATGCATGCATGACTTACCCGTACGTGTGTCAGTGTGTCAGTCAGTAGCGTGTTGTGCCCCTACCCCTTGTAAACCCAAGAGAGTTGTTTTATTTACCTAATGCACTGGGCTTAGCATGTGGCATGTTTTGTTGTCACGGAGTTGACACAGTTTCCAAATCATTTCATACTCCCATATAGGCCTGGGAACCGGCTAATAAGCCGTGAACCCTAAACCTTAAATTGCTACTCGCGAGTAGCTGCTTCTACTCGCGCCAGGACAAGTACTCGAGTAGATGAAAAACCACGAGTAAAACAACGAGTAGCATAATTTTCTCGGGAGTTCTTGAGTAATGGAGTTACTGGCCCAGTGGTACTCCCATGTGTTTTCCATGATGGGATGCGTTTCAGCGTTATCCATTCAGAGCAAGCTTAATTGTGATTTTTCTTTCTCAAAAGCTCGCAGACAACACAGAATAAACTGTGCTTCTAAAATTGTGTTGGTGAAGGGCTAACCTAGTATTGAAATGCATGTCTCCCTGGTGCAGAGTTCCATTGTAAAACAAGACCAGACTTTAAGGGCAAACATGGAGGGCCATGAGAGCGAAGGACTAAGTGAGCATTAAGTTCATGTCCAAAATTTGGTTCAAGAAGTGCTAACATTGATGTCTCTGTCTGTCTTTGTTTTTACTCTGGTAGGCCACAAGTCGGCCAAGCAACCCCAAGAACCACCCCCAGCAGCTGAACCGCCCATTCCCATGCAGCCAGTCTACCCTCCGCAGCACCCATCAGACCCCAACGTAGACTCCACCGATGCCCGCATCCACCCCCACGCCCAGCCCTTCCACCCAGCCGTGAACGTCAACTACACCCCGACGCCCCACAGCAACGGGATGGGGATCCCGCCCTACTACCACACGCTGGAACGCAGCGAGGGGGAGCAGGAGACCACGTTCCATGGGAACAACTCCATGCCGGCTACCAACGTCATCACCAACCCCATGCTTGGCATGACGATGATCAGCTCCACGATGCCTAGCAGAGGTAAAGGTCGAGGGCCTGACAATGTTCATGTTTGCCCTGGATAAGTTGAAATATACTGCTGCAGGTATTCTTAAGCTGTTCCCATGTACTTGTGTAGTGGAAATAGGTTGACAATAGATGTAGCAATATAGCTCTGGGACGCAACCATAACATTAACAAAATTCAGTGCAGTTTTAGTAGTTTCTCCAGGAAATGAAATCACCTCTTCATCTCACAAAGATGCTCGTAACTACTGGATACATTCTTTCACTCAGTTGAGTATCCAGAATGCCAGAATGTTCATAACAATGTGCAGACAGTGAGTTGCCAAGGACTCAGTCTTGATTCGAATTTCCTTTTCACTTCTCTCATGCAAATTACAACTGTGATTCCTGGGGGATTGACTATTTAGAAATCCCCCTCCCCCAAAAAAAAGTATTAAAAACCCCAAACCAGAAAAAAATTGCCATAGCCTGTCTGAAACCACAACTTGAGGACTTAAGACACTCTTAACACTGTTCAGTTTGGCACAGCTCTGGGATGCAGTCCTACACAGTTTCTAGCTAAACATTTACCTCCTCTCATCAAACATTGCCTTTGTCTTTGCAGCGGTTCCAGCCATCCCGTCCAGTCCCAACACCAACATGACCGGCGGCTCCAGAATGAACAACTTCCAGCCGCGGCGAGACGACTCTCTGATGTCCCCTCACCCGTACAGTACTATCAACTCCTCCAGGCAAAATACCGCCACAAGGTTTGTCTGCTCAACAAAACTTGGCTAGAATGTATTTGCTTTAAATAAATCCTATTCTAATGCATTCTTTGAAAACACTGTCATAATCAAGAATCAAAGACAACTTCATTTGAAACGTGTGCGTGGGTTTGTTTGTGGTGTAAATCGAGGGCACACGTGTATACTTGTTCCGTAGTTTAAGGGACATACACTCGTCTGTACGAGTTATTTGTGGGGACCGAAAATGCAGAAAGTCCCAATAACTCGGTCCTGATTTGCCTAACAATAATAAAACTTCCCCATAAGGCAGTGTAGGCCTGCACACATTAAACATCCTTGTGTAATTGAGGACAGGAGTCAAATCGAGGACGTCCTCGATTAGAAAACGTGTACAAAACCAATGGGAGCTGTTGCAAAACAGTTACAGTATGACCAAAAGATCGATGATGAGGAACAATAGGAATTCATCGATGTACACCATAAACAAACATTCAGGTCATGTTTTGGAGCTTTCCATAATTCTTAAATTTTCCCATTGCAGGGGCTTCTATGAATTCCCCAACAACGGGACCTCCTCGACCCTCCCCCCGGTTCCCGGCTTCACGGCACTCTACAACGACAAGAGACCCAACAGCAACACACAGCAACTCAAATACCGGCGAGTGGCCCACACAAAACAGGGACTCAAATCCTGGAAGTGCGCAGCGCTCCTACTAGCTGTCATATCGTTTGCCCTCGCTGCTACGGTTATTTATTTAGCAGGTATGTCGGCGTGTGAAATTTTTCTGACTGATTCTTGAGGTGGTTTCAGATATTTGTGTGGCTGACTCAATGTTCTTGTATTATTTTGAGCCATCTGCACTTGTACTACTTTTACATTGTATTACATTGTATTACATTGTATTACATTGTATTACATTGTATTACATTGTATTTGTTCCCTTACATGAATCCATGTGGTGGTTTGAGGTGGTATAGGGAGTAACATGCAGGGTAGTTCAGGCCAATACAGGGAGTAACAGGCAGGGCCGTTTTTGGTTGGTTAAGGAACAAATGCATTCAGTATTCTTTATAACTGATTTAGTATTGCATTTAAGCTTGTCAAAATGTTTCTCAAAATCTTGACTTCAGATGCAAAACACTACTTCTAAATCTCATGTGTAAGCACAGAACCTACAACTAACCGTGGCTTTGTTCTTTGATCTTTGTTTTAGTAGTAAGCATCTCCGTCAACCAGTGTCGGGTGGAGACTGTGGAGAACATTTTAACAGACTGCAAATCAACAGCAGTCGTACCCAGCACACAGGGACTTACAGCAACTACCAAACGTAAGCTTTCCTGTGTATTATTTTTTTTGTATAGAGACAGTTTGTTCATCTTCCCTTTGCCACTTGAAAATTGTCTTCACATCATGCATGAAAATCTGTTTAAGTTTTGTTTGAATTTCTTCGTACTTAGGCCCCACGACTGCAGCGCCCACCCAGCCCCAACCCACCCAGCCGTCAGCGATTGCTCTCAACGCCCCGTCCAGGGTTCTGATCCCACCAGGGGACTTCTGGGTCTCAGCGCTTCCAATCAACACCCAGCAGTACGTGCAATTGAACCTGACCATCCCGCTCCGGTCCAACTTCGCCATCTTCGGCCAGCGCCGGGCACCGCCCACGCACACGGAGTACGACTTTGTGCGCGTGCACGCGGGGAGCCGGTGGCACGACACGCAGCGCGGGAAGCGTGACGTGCATGATGAACGCAAGCAGTTTGTCCTGGACGGCAGGAAGGGACGTAAGCATCACGACGTCATCATCAAGGAGGATTTCCTCAAGGGATTTGACAGAAGCAGGCGGTCCAGCGTTCTTCCAGACACGACGTTATCGTTTATTGAAGAAATGGTGCCAGGACTGTGGTTTGTCGGTGTTTACAATGATGGCGAAGCAACGGAAGAAGTGGCACTTGAAGTATCAGACAGAGGTAAGTAAGAATATTGATTGTCGCAGGCTCATATGCAGCTTGTCCTCTTTGTTGTTGTGCCTCATAGTGTTGTATTCGAGTCCATCATCACAAGTCCTTATAAGTCCTCATAAGTCCCGCACGTCCTCACAAATCCTCCTATGGCATCATGTGCATCTCATCAATGTTGTAGTGAAGTCCATCGGTCCCTCACAAGTCCTCACAAGTCTCGCACGTCCTCACAAATCCTCCTATGGCATCATATGCATCTCATCAATGTTGTAGTGAAGTCCATCGGTCCCTCACAAGTCCTCACAAGTCTCGCACGTCCTCACAAATCCTCCTATGGCATCATGTGCATCTCATCAATGTTGTAGTGAAGTCCATCGGTCCCTCACAAGTCCTCACAAGTCTCGCAAGTCCTCACAAATCCTCCTATGGCATCATGTGCATCTCATCAATGTTGTAGTGAAGTCCATCGGTCCCTCACAAGTCCTCACAAGTCAATCACAAGTCCATGGCAATTCGTGCAGTGTCAAATCAAGTTACAAAAATGTCAAACATTGACAAAAGTATTCCATTGTCATTGTCAGTCCCCTGTCACTTGTGACTGGACTTGTGAAGGGACTTACTATTTACTTTTGCCCAGACTTGTGATGGACTTGACTACAATACTGTTACCTATTGTGAATTTTAAATGTCCTAGTCAGTTTCGCTGTGCATTTAGTAGATAATTCATTATCATGCATGTCAATTTTGGTTTTGAACCTTGCAGTCGGTGTTTCTTGAAAACGTAGGCATAGTCAGATATTTAATTCTGAATATAAAACAACATTGACGATGTGCTTGTATTCTTGCAATGGGCAGATACCTGGGACGATGGCCAGCGATGCCCACGTGGTTGCAGCGGGCACGGAGAGTGTGTGCTAGGACAGTGTGTCTGTGATCAGGCCTACATCGGTGAAGATTGCTCCCAAGGTATGGCATTAGACATCTGTGATGCCTAAACGCTGTAAAGGGAACCGGTCTCTGAGAAAATTTATCACAGACGGTTAAATTTGTTTGGTCTTTACTTGAATAACCTAAAACCTGTTTGACATCAGCATTTAGGCTGATTGTTGAGTGAAATCAAGGGACTCTTTTTCTTTTTTTGTTTCTGTGTGCAGTCAAAAAGTAACGAAAAATTAATTTTCAACCAGGAGCTGTTTGGATGAAGTAGATTGTTTTAACGTATCATCAATATAGTCTTCTCAATTTTTGACTGAAATAAGCACCATGGTACCGGTAAAGACATTTTCTCCCCTTTAAAAAAAACTGAAAGTGACATGTACCTCTACCTCAAAATCATCCAGACATTTTCAATTTTAGTCAAATATTAAAAAAACAAATTTTCCAATTTTACTTGAATGTTCACACAGTGTTACTTTTTGTTTTTTTAACTAAAATTCTTTTGACAACAATATTCCAATGCTGTGTAGAACAAATTGAATCAATGCAGGATTTTGCTTTTCATGGGTTTTTGCTTTCCACAGTTGTTTTCCTACATATGTTTGGAAAACAGATGTTTGGCCAATTCATTTTTTTTTTTTAATGTCTCCAATAAATAACTTAATTTTTCATGGGACCTTATGTTTCAACGGTATTCTCCCCCACCCGCAGGTATATGCCCGGTACTCTGCAGTGGCCATGGCCGGTACGCCCACGGCGTCTGCGAGTGCTTCAGCAACTGGAAGGGGCCTGAGTGCAGCGTACGCAGCGAGCAGTGCCTCGTACCAGACTGCAGCGGGCACGGCCAGTGCGTGCTGGGAGAATGCGTCTGCTCCAGGGGATATATAGGACAGGCTTGCGAAGAAGGTGAGTTGCATTGATTGGTTTTAAAATTATAATCAATATAGAAAGAGAAATAAACAACAAACAGACACATTAGAAAACAACAATTCTGAGCTGAATTTGAGTTCAAACAACTGGAAGTTTCTGCGTCAGCTGTCATCTGTGTTTAAATCATGAATATTAAAATTAGTGTCCGCATAAAACCATAAAAATGCGATACAAACCTTGGGACTTAAGGTGGAGGTACGGTACATGGAAATGCATTTTGATCATTCCAATTAAAAAAAAAAAAAAAAAAAATTTAAAAAAGTCTTTTCCTTTCAATTCATTTTTTTTACATAAAAATCTGTGGAAAGTAATTTTGTCTACTTTTACCTTTCTAAAGTTGAAGGTCTAATACAGCACTTTTATGGAGGGTTACGTTTGGAAGAGACTCAATTGAGCAAAATCGCAAGTTTGCCAGGCATGAGATTCTCAGAGTTTTGTCTGAAATCAGACTTTTTGAATCTGAGAGAAAGACATTATTAGTATAGAAAGATATGCATTTTTTTAGACATATCGTCAATTTGCAGACTTTTTTTTTTTTCCAATTGACAATCTCATTCCTGGGTTGCCCTTGCAGCATCTCTTTCAGTACATTCCCAAATGTGTGAATGCGTTTGTTTATGGTGTATATCGAGGACACACGCGTGCAACATCATCGATAAATTGAGGACAGGTTAGAAAACGTGTACAAAACCAATGAGAGCTGTTGCAAAAAGTATTAATAAAGGAAAAGGGAAGAGGAACAAAAGAAAATCCTTGATTTACACCATAAACAAACGTGGGTGTATGTGTGTGTGTGTCCTCACCACTGTTTCCCTTTGATTGCTATCCAGAGGTTCACGAGTGTGGCAACAACACAGACTGCGGCATCCATGGCCAGTGCGACACAGGCATGTGCCGATGTGAGAAGGGCTGGACCGGCGAGCACTGCTCACAGGAGGCCAGTTGCCTGCTGCCATGCTCCCCTAGAGGGCGCTGTGTGGACGATTCCTGCGTCTGTGAGCTGGGCTGGAATGGCAGGCTTTGTGGGCTGGGTAGGTGGTTTGAATCGGGATTACTGCCATTTGTTTAAGTCAGGAAATGTGGTTGTTTCAAAAGATAATTTAAATTTTTCCTTGAAACAAGAATTGCAATCTTAGAGTCAGAAAGGGCCATATTTCTTATTTCAGCATAATGAAAAACACTTTAATGTTATTCATATCAGTTAAACCATTTGTGGAATTGCAGGTTCATTTCTTATTTGGAAATGTCTAATATTTCAAAGACTTAAAATGAAAAAGACAAGTATGAAAAAGACAAGTATGGAAGAGTTTCGGTGTTATTTTTATGTGATGAATCAAATTAAGTCACTGCTCAGATAATTCACTGCAAATTGCTTAAAATAACTGAGTGGTAAGGAGTTATATCTGTGCGCATGCAAGATTTAAAGGTCCTTCAAGATGAAAACAAGTGAAGCCCGTGCTGTTGAAATGTTGCTCTGTTCTGGCAATATAGCTACTGAGAAACATTTGGTAGTGAGATGAAAGTAGTTTTAGAGTTTCTTTGCCTTAGCTTCCTTACTCAATGTCATTGAATTGTTTTTCTCGATCTTCCAGAGGGTTGCCCAGATGGCTGTAACACCCACGGTGACTGCCAGTTTGTGGACATGCGGTGGCAGTGTGTCTGCACGGGGCCGCACCGCGGCAAAGCCTGTGAGATCACCATGGAAACGGCCTGCTCCGACGGACAAGACAATGATGGAGGTAAGTTGATGTTTGGCATTCATCACAGCCTTTTACTCCAAAATTTGTTTTAAATTATCTGTTTTTCAGTGATTCTCAGTTGTAAATTGAAGCCTGTTTTACATTGTGTTTGATATGAATACGTCAGATGTTGTTTTGGACATTATTGAAATCCTGGCTTTGATTTGAGCTTAGACTCGAGGAGAATTTATGCCCTTTACTTTAGGAACTCCAGACCAATAAAGGTCTATATTCTGCTTCAGGAACAGTGTCACATTAGGCCAATATTTCAGAGTATTTGCATTTGGTGTGAGCATTAACTCTTTCGCTACGGAATTTAATTTACCGATTTTTCCCCGTTTGGACGTAATAAACCGCTGGAAATTCCGCCGTGTGTAGATGTGGACGCCGCCATCTTTAAATGTCTCTCCGTAAACAAACTGCTCACAATAACCTGCAGCAGACCCCGGCGAGACGGAGAGCCGCTGGCAGCGGCTCAAACTAGGGTCAGAGGTTATACGATATAAATTATGTAAATAAGGCACACGTCATGGGGATACCCCGTTTATTCACAGCGACGTCACCGAGCTGCCAGCGGCTTGCCGTACGACATGTACAATTTTTGTGTGCCGCTGTCAGCGGCTCGCCGTAGCGAAAGAGTTAAAGGCTTTTAAATGATTCTGAAGTAACAATAGCAGCCAAAGCTGGGGTAGAAGCCAAAATTTCAAAATCCTCTTTTGTTTCCTTTTAACAAAGATGACATCAGTAAATTGAATTCTGTTTCCTTTTTTGCCCAAGATACCTTGATGGATTGCCTGGACCCCGACTGTTGCCATGATGACTTCTGTGCCTCCAGTATCCTCTGCACGACGTCGCCAGACCCAGGGACCATCCTGGGCCGTGACGCCATGTCCCTAGTCACCCCGCCGTTGTCCTTCTACGATCGCTACAAGTTCCTGGTAGAGGCAGACAGCGTGCAGACGGGGGCCATGCTTGACGACGTGGATCCAAGGTGAGTCAAGCTGGTCAACTGTTGCTCTACTGGGAAATTCTCCGAAATAGATTCCTCACTGCCTAATTTTGAAACAAAAAATGCACTTACTACACGTGGCACTGTATTTTGACTTTCCAAAATGTTTTAGATACTTTTCATGAAGGTTGATATCATTATTATTTTTCAGGTTGATAAAAATTAATATTTATAAACTTCAGTGTTGTCTTTGAGGACTGGGGTTTTCCTTGTCCCAAATGTTAATATTGAACTGTAATTTAAATTTTCCCCATAAATTTGTCACAGCCACGTTGCAGTGATTCACGGCCGACTGGTTGGTGAGGATGATGGACCTATCACTGGCGCCAGGGTGCATGTAGAAATCCAGCCCTCGCTGGGCTATACCTACACCAGACAGGATGGAATGTGAGTACATGAAACACAGAAAAACTACGAATAAAAGTTCGTTTCCATTCAGTTTTGTTGAATAATTTGGCATCCACAATTGGAAGCCATTACGGAAAATGGTGCCAAAATAGTGTGCATGTCATATACATGCTCTCCATGCGTCTTTGACTAACATTGTCACCGAAAATGCAGGCATGCGAGAATGTGTAAGAGTCATATGTAACTTGTAAGTAAGAAACTACCTCAGATTACAGGGGTGTTTTTTCCCCAATTTCAAGTAAGGTAATGAGTAACAGGGTACAAAGCACTGTCACAGTTCATTCAAATAGCTTGTCCGAGACGGCAAATCTGGTGATTGACTAATTAGGCCTTGTGACTTGACTTCATATCTGACAGGGATTATGGTAACACAATTGAATTTGTAACGTCAAAGGCAGCACTTGAATTTATAACATGACTTCTTGCAGGTATGATCTGATGGTGCTGGGTGGGGGCTCCATCCGTCTGATCCTTGAGCGTCAGCCCTACCACCAAGCCACCAAGTACATCTACATCCCTCTGCAGAGCTTCATTCACGTCGACGACATCACGATGTCAGCGACGTCCAGCACGGCTGCCGACAGCAACATTTTCAGCAGTCACCACGCCGCGGTGTGTGCTGGGGAGGATTTCCCTGTACCGGAATTCAAGAAAATCAGCGCTGTCGGGAGCGAGGAGGGGACATGTCGTGAGGAAGGCTTCTCTGTAGATCAGAGGGTAGGTTTGGGATTCTTTGTGATGCTCACCCGCATGTTAACCAGTTCGCGTCGTATGACATTTTGTGGTATTGGGAACGGATGACGGATAAACACGCAACGAGCAAGGCAGGAAATATCTGTCTGCAACCCGCTCGCATCGAGCATGGCCAGAAATATCAGGGTGTGCTACCCGCAGATGACGGCCTGAATACAATCGTGCCTCGGTCATGTACAAATAATCCCAGAGCAAACTGGTTAATGAGAGCAAATAGCATTTAAGGGACAAAATTTGATTTTGAGTTAAAGAAATATTGAACTCTTGGCATTTAAACAAAAAAAATATTTTTAAAAATCTCAGAATTCTTTTCAATCAACAACTAGTCAATCACAATTTCATAACAAGTAAATCACAAGTTCATCAAAAAGTCACAAATCCGTCAGAAATAATCATAGATCAGTCACAAATTAACTACATGTAAATCATGAGGAAAGTCATAAAACTCGATCACAACCCAATCACAGTTCAGGAATTCCTCTTTCCCCAGCTCATATTGAATATATTCTCACATGACTAGAAACTAGACTTGCCGTGTTACTGACAGTGCGACTTGTGATAATTTGTGATAACTTGAACAAAACTCAAACAAAACTGTTCACTGCTCTATCTTTATATTTCCAGGCAATCCATGAGCAGGTCCCCATCTCCGGCACCAAGCTGACCCTAGACTACTTCAGCCAGAGCGGCCCCGGTCAGCCCTCTATGCTGGCCCTCAAACTGACCCCACCCTCCCTGCCCCAGAGTCTGGAGATGGTCCACGTCAGCGTCAGCCTGGAAGGCAGGAGGTTCCAGGACACTCTCATGCCAGAGGAAGGAATGGAGTACACGCTACGCTGGGACGGGAGGAACGTGTACGGACAGACAGTGTATGGAAGAGCTATTGCCATAGGTAAGAACTGGGGGGCATTGAGGTTTTTTCCAATCCTTGGATCTGACCCTAGCTTGGGTTTCAGGAGTTTTAAGGCCCTGACTTTGGGGACTGAGTTCAGTATAAGTACATGTTCAGTTTTTTTGGGTACAAAATCCTGTAACTTAAACCAAAGTTTCTCCATTTGGTTGGGACTTTGAAAACCTCAAAAATAATTCTGGAGCCAGCGATAAAAACAAGCCTGGAGACAAAGCTGAGCGTTAGAAAATTCTCTAAGTATTCAGAAAAGTTCCATTTAAAAACATGACAGATATTAGAATATTAATGTTTGTCTACAATGATTTTATTCCAAAAGTTAATTTAACAATTTCTGGATGATAATTACAATAGAAATTTTACTTCATTTTTTCAATATTTTTGTGGGGCATATTATGTATGTAATGTAGCAACAGTTAAACAAAATAATCTATATGACACTTAAGTAAATGTTCTAAATTTTCCTCCAAAAAATTGGCCTGTGCCCACTCCTCCTTAAAAGATGCTTACATTTGTGTAGGTGGCATTCCAGAATTTGTCTTAAAAAAAACCCACTGTGGTTGTTTTCCTAGTTTCTGTTGGCTATGAGTACCAAGGCTGTGATGACATCATTTGGAGGAAGCAGCGAATCGCAATTGACGCACCTGACTGGGGCTCCATGGATCTAGGCGGCTGGCAGCTACCTGTCCACCATAACTACAATCCAGAAAAAGGTAAGAATCACTGGAGAGAGACTAAAAAGGGCATTGTGTTATGAATGAATCACAAGTCAATGAAAAGTCAGGATGTTGATCGGAATAGCTCGTCACTTGACTTCAGAGAGGATGACTTGTGATGACCTGAATTCAACTCGGGGAAAGGATTGGCGTTTCATTAATAGTTGTTCTGTTAAACCATACAAACCAGAGGGAGACGCGAGTAGACTGGTTCCAAGTCCCTCAATTATCACAGAGGTAGGAACCATTTTAGATATGCAAAGTTAATGCTGTAAACAACATGTTGTCTTAAATGCACACATATACAGACATCAGACATCAAGCCTGCGTACAAAACATGTATATCGTCCTTGAAGAGCAGCATTCGGAAATTTAGGTGTGAAATGGACAAAGCTTTCAAAGAATTCACAACACATCTTCTCATTTCTCTGTACTTCATCAGCTATCCTGAGCCTTGGCACAGGCCAGCGTGTGTTCTACCACCACCAGCCGGCCACCATCCAATCCATCATGGGCAATGGTCGTCAGCGTAACGAGGACTGCTCGCAGTGCGCGGGCCGAGCCAAGAACAACCGCATGCTGGCACCCATCGCCCTGGCCAGCAGTCCTCAGGGTGATGTTTACGTCGGTGATTCCAACTTTGTCCGGAGAATTGACAAGTACGGCAATGCCACCAACGTTCTGCAGTTGAGGTTAGTCTGAGGCTTTTCATTGACTTTTGGAGTTTGTTGGAGTTTGTTGAAGACATGGAATGCATGGAACTAAATGTAATGTGAAAGCCGGACTCTAGACAGACTCTAACTGAAAGCTCATTTACCTGTCTTGAATAAAAGACATAATTTCCAGTGCCTTGAGTACCTAATTGCTGGTAGATACATGCGCTATATTAGACTCAGGAATTTTTTTTACTATATTTATTATTGTTATTGTTAGATTTGAGAAAACCCAGCTCAAAAGACCCAAATCTGAAATCGTTTGAAAATGTAGTGTTAAAAAATTACGTAAATGTGGCTTTCAGCGGTATCCAGCTGCTAATGTGTGATTGCTTGATAAAGCTCCAACTGAGATGAAAAAACCTCTGAATTTCTAAATGTTGTCTAATTTACATTGTTTTAAACACTCTGTATAAAAATCACTTGAGTGTGAATTCTAAAAATCACATAACTGCCATTTGTGACAGATGTACACAAATTACTTGGCTTTTAAAAGTCTTTCAAGCTCAAAAAATGCATCTTAAACTCATAAAAAAAGTTCCTCTCCCCCACAGATATCAGCCCTCCTACAAGTACTACCTGGCCGTGAGCCCCCTGACAGGCGTCCTGTATCTCTCAGACGGACAGACCCGCCAGATCTACCAGATCAGGAAGCTAGCCAACATCCCCAACGTCTCCAGCAACCTGATGCTGGTGGCCGGTACAGGAACCCCCTGCCAACCTCTGGATCCTGATGGCTGCGGCGATGGGGGGTCGGCCACGGATGCAAAGCTGCTGGATCCCAAAGGTGAGTGGAGGATCTAGGATTTTTCATAAGAGGTTGGGTGAGGTCTTAAAATCAAGAAATTTTGAAATGGGTAGGCTGAGTTGTTGAAGTCAATGATTTCTTCAACGGAGTTGACTGCGAGTGTTGAACTTTAATAAAGCAGTATTTTTAGTTTAAGGTGGAAGGTGGCTGAGGTTTGGAAATTGGGGAGTGTTTTTTTTGTAATGGAGGGGTTGGGGCTGAATTGTTGAAGTGAGCATGTGAAGAGACCAAAGGCCTTAAGTAATGAACTAATGAAAAGAAATGTGAGATTCTTTCCAGTAATGTATTATTTTGTGATATTTGTTAATTTTTCAGGCATCGCTGTTGGTAGAGATGGAACCATATACTTTGTTGATGGAACCGTAGTCCGGAAGATCCAAGATGGCATCATCACAACAGTAGTCGGGTCCCATACCTGGGTCGGGCCAACCAGACTGCCGAAATGCTCCGACAGCATGTCCTTCGATCAGGTAGGAAAGCAATGGATGTTGATTTTTTTGTTTTGGGGTTTTTTTTTGTCAAGGATGCTGGCAACAGAGCTGACTCGTTGAAAAAATCAGTCGCTCACTTTAGATTATGAAAATTTGGAGTTTGCCAAACCCAATTTCCTATTTTTTTTTTAAATTTTTTTTTTACTTGACCAGGTGAAGCTTCAGTGGCCAACTGATATTGCCATAAATCCCATTGACGACTCCATTTACGTTACCGATGAAACGGTCATCCTACGGCTAGGGAAAGACGGTTTAGCATCGGTCTTCGCTGGTGTTCCCCCCAATTGCCCCTTTGATGGTGCCCCACAGTTAGGCCCCTCTGATGAAGATCACATGATCAGCGGCGTCCAATCAGGACCCAAGTTGGCCACGCAGGAGCAGTTGATGCTGCCTAGTGCCTTAGCCTTTTCAAGCACTGGTGAGCTGTTTGTAGCCGAGACGGATAACCTCCATCTGCACCGCGTCCGCCGCATCACCACGGATGGAATTATCTCCTGGTATGCCGGCCGAGACTCGGAATGCGACTGCCGTGAGGAGGAGTGCATCTGCTTTGATCAGGATCAGCTCTTCGCTGTCGATGCCAACCTCAACACTCCCGTTGCCTTGACTGTAACCCCAGACAACGACCTCATCATCGCGGACCAGAGGAACCTCCGCATCCGCAAGGTCACCTTAGACATCCCCAAGCTCGACGAAGAAGGCCACTATCTCCTGGCATCACCAGATCGTCGCGAGATCTACCGCTTTGACCAGCGGGGATTCCACCAGACCACGTGGGACACCCTCACGCAGCTGGCATCCCGCAACCTGTCCTATGATGGCAACATGAAGCTACGGTCAGTCTCTGATGGACCCGGAAACGATTTGAGGATCATCCGTGATGATAACGGGTCTCCATTGAGACTGCTGCCATCCAGCGGCGATATTGTCGAGCTGACCCTGAACAGTCAGGGCTTGTTGACGGGGACTGCCAATGGAGATGGGAGTCAGGTTACCAGACTGGAGTATCATGATTCCGGTGAAGGTCTGCTGATGGCAAAATACAGTGGCAATGTACTACAACACGTCTATGAGTAAGTAATATTACTAAGCTGATTATTTTTTATGTAGTTTTGTTAGAAAATGCAGATTGCAAAATAATAAAATTGAAATTGAAATTGTCAAAATATAGTCTACAGATTGTCACTTGGGATGCAATGTGCTCTCGCCCTTTGAATTCACCTTGAATTCATAAGCATTATTATTATTTGTCTCTTTCACTGTGGCATCCTCACAGGTACAACAAGCAAGGGTTATTGGAGACAGTCACGTGGCCAACAGGGGAGGTGACCAAGCTACGATCCAGGACCAACGACTCTCACTCCATCGTTGAGATGACTGAGCCAGGCCGGGCTGACTTCATCAGCTCCACGCTGCAGCACACTTGGCTGACGGAGCAGACGCTACTGCAAGGTGGGTTGGAGAACTGTCAGAAATGATAAGATCTCATTTTTAAACTTGGAGTGAGGATTGTGACTCAATTCCTTCAAACCCTTGCTCGCCGAGTGTATATTTTTCTTCAGTGTGCTGGATGTTTGCCAATACCCTCCATGTGAAGTCTACTGGAGGATGCAAAGCCCAATCAGAAAAGACTCCAAATGAAGTGATTTTTAGGATACTTATTTGCTTATTAGAGGATAAGTTTCGCATTTTGGGGGAGTGTGTAGACATATATCCATTCAATAAACACAGGGCTTTCTAAAAGCAAAAATTGCAGTGTTTTGGAGAAGGTTGTAGGGTTTATAAGGAATCAACTCTCAGTAGTTGCAGATTCCAGTTCCCAGAATGACACCCCTTTCAGATCCGCTAACATAAAATAATATATACAAAAATATGTGATATGGGTAAAGTTAATGCCATAGTGCCCAATAATGGGATCAGTCAGATTTCAGATAAATATTTTCAAGACTTATGAATTTTACATCATCTTATCCCTCAATACAGCGGACCTGATGGCCACCATCATCCAATCACGCCATGACGGCCAGTTCTCCCTCAGCTACCCCAACGGTGTCACCGTCCAACTGCAGCGGGATTCTCACCCAGTCTACGAGGATGACCCTTACGCCGTCATGACCAAACGCAAGATTGTCCTGCCCGAGGACCTGGTCAACCGGCTGGACTGGCGATACTACGGGCGGAGGGGAGGTCAAGACAGGCGGAAGATACTGGTCATCGGCCGGAAACTGCGGGTAAGGAGGAGGGCAAGGAGGAGTTAATTCAAGAAGAGTTTCAGCGTGAATAATGATTTAACCATTAGTTGATCTCTCTTTATCAGCTTTCCTTTTGTCACCTTGCATGTGAAAGTGAAGTTTACTCAAAGAAGTCATACTCACTTACATCTCTTGCCAGTTTTTCTGTCAGTGTTTCCATCTGTACCCACAAATGAAACAAGTCTTTTAAGAACCAACGATGCAAATAATGTCCTGCTTCCAAGTAGTCCTCTAGAGTTGCCTGAACATCATTGTGAAAGCTACTTATGGTTAACAGTAGACCATGCTCAAACTTTCTTTAAGATTAAAGAGCGTTGCTCAAAGAATGATTTGCTGCTTGAATCTTCAAGGATTTATCCAATCCTATCATTTCTCCTTCATTCGTAGATCAACGGGGAGCACGTCTTCACTCTGGAGTACAACCGCTTCACCAAGACGGAGACCCTCCAGAACGCGGACGGCATCCCAATACTCATCATTACCCACGACGCAACGGGGCTACCCATCGAGTGGCTCCCCACACATGGCCTGAAACCCACCAACGCGACCTATGACCCTCTGGGCCGGCTCATTCGCTGGCAGCGGGGGTTGATGTTTGAGGCCTTCTCGTATGACATTGAGGGAAGGCTGGTTGGGCGTCGCCATGGGAATGACAGCATGTGGAATTTTGCGTATGAGAGAGCTGTTCAGGTAAGGCTAAATTTTATGTACTTTGGGGGTTTTATAAATATTTACAAAGTTACCATTGGGACAGGCCTCACTGTCATACAACTAAACTCCAGGCAAAAAGCAGCAAATTTATTGGTCATCTGTCTAATAAAGGTTTAAGTCTACCCATATTTCACAATGTCCAGTTTTCTACTGCCTGACCAAAAAAAAGCAATATATCAGCCATGGTTTCTCGGAGGAAATATCAAACTGATTAAGGTTGAAGATTTTGATTCTAATGAAAAAATCTAATTATCGACATTTTTATGCAATCTTTTTTTAGCCATCACAAACCACTGTGCCCAATGGCCAGCACTACGCCATGCTGTATGACAACTCTGGCAATCTGAAGATGGTTACCATGCCGACAGGAGCACGCCATCGAATCAGAACCGTGATCTCCCTCGGCTACACCAGAAACATTTACTCCAGTGAGGACAATGCACCCTGGGTAATGCAGGACCTCAGCCAATCAGGTCACCTCCTGCAGACCTACTTTCCCGGGACGGGACGCCGCACCACGTACATTTACGACAACAAGGATCGCATGGCTGACGTACTCTTTGAGGAGACGGCCGTGGAGTACAGTTACCACAGCAACACAGACCAGGTGAAGACGATCGAGCTACAAGAGGGGCGATTCCACAATTCCATGCGATTCGTGCACAATGGACCGCTGGTGGAACAGATGCTGGTGCGCACGACCGGTTTCGAGGGGTTGATGAATGCGCGATACGATTACGTCTACGACGCGACTTTCCGTGCGGCAACCATCTCTGCTGAGTTCAACACAACGGTGCTGCCGCTGAAAGAAATGAGATTTGACAGCGAGACAGGCAGAGTGGAACAAATGGGGTTCTTTACGGTGACCTACCCAGATGCCGTCACTCAGATCATGGCGGATTCCTTCTTCCAGTTGAGGAAACAGTATGGCACGTATGCATTGCTGCAAGAAGTCAGTTACCAAATCACCGGAGTGGGCACTATCGCCAGCATGTCACTTTTGTATCATTTAACCGGCCGTATGGCTCAGCGTGTGCTGACAATGCCCAACGAGTCCCACACCACAAAGTATTTCTTTGACGTCAACGGCCAGTTGGAAGAAGTCACGGTGGACGATCGCTTAATGTGGAAGTATACATATGACAACAATGGCAACATCGCTTCACTGAGCCATCAGGGTTCAATTGAAACATTGGACTATGATGACCAGGACCGCATCACCAGGGTCGGTACCACTGATTACCGGATGGATAGTGATGGCTTCCTGACCCAGAGAGGAGAAGAGATCTTTGAGTACAACTCCAACTGTCTTTTGGTGCATGCTTACAAGCCCCATGTCTACGACATCCGCTACAAGTATGATGGCGTGGGCCGGCGCATCTGGCGTAAAGACCACACGGGCCGGCAGGTCCAGTTCTTCTATGGCGACATCACTAAACCCACCCGCGTCACCCACATCTATGACCACATGGCCCGCGAGATGACCTCTCTGGAGTATGACCTCCAGGGCTTCCTGTTTGCTATCCGTCGGGGCCAGACACAGCTGTACGTGGCGTCCAATCACGTCGGCTCCCCCATTGCTGTCTTCAATGCCAACGGGGAAATCCTCAAAAGACTCACCCTGGATCCTCTAGGTAAAGTCCTGAGTGACTCGGACCCAACGTTTCTTCTCCACATCGGCTTCCAGGGAGGCATCTACGACTCGCTAACAAGACTGGTCCATTTTGACAGAAGGGACTACGATCCCATCTGTGGCCGATGGACGTCACCCGACCTCAACTTCTTCAAGGACATCACACAGACTTCCAGGACTAAAGCATTCAACATGTACACATTCAATGGAAACATCTTTGTTGGAAGTGATACAGAGAGCCACTACCTGTCAGGTGAGCACAAAAGCAGGAACGGTTCAATAAGATTAAACAGATGTTCTCCAAATGGTTGCAGATGTGTTGCACATCTTGGCAAAAAAGACATAGCAGTGGTATATTCTCTGGCAAACATAGACTTTATTTGAAAAGTGTTGAAAAAGTACATGCAAATGCCAGCAATACGTATACATACAGAAGGCGCAACTTTTGAATTGTTTCCAAGTATAAATTGGTTGTGGAACCAAACTTTTAAAGACGACCTCTCTTCCCTTGCCCTGTTAGATCTGTGGAGTTGGTTCCCAGTGTTGGGATATGACATCAACAACATGATCCCCCAGCTGAATCGCAACGGCCAGATCGAGACGATTGACTCTCAGCGCTCAGCCTGGAAGGACAGCACGGTCATGACATCCTGGGCAAAGGTACGTGCCTCCTCTAACATAGTGTGATAAACAATTTGTACTTTATAAATATACCTTCAAACTAAATAAGTGTGCAAACTCCATGCCAGAGAACATCATCTATGGCAGAGCTAGAAAATGCATCCGACCGTAAAGGATATTTCTGTCGTGCACCCAGGCTCAGTGGCATTCAGATTCTCATAGGTAGACTCCATGAGTTCGTGCAACATTTATTTGAAAATTAGTTGCCACTACGCCACTTCAATGTTGTAGTCAAGTGCACACAAGGCATTTTGACTTTGAAGTCAAGTGACAAGCTTGTAAAGTGCATTGTGATAAGGAAATTGCATGGGCTCTATTCATGAGTCAGCCATATTAAATTGAAAGCGAGGTAAATTTTTTTATTTTTGGAACTTGCTAAGAGAAATGAAAGCAATGACATATTAAAAGTAAATTACAAATTAATTCCAGTGTGTTGTGATGAATAATATAAGATTTGTGATTAGACATACCCTAATGTTTTAAGCCACATTTACAAAACTAAATGAAAGTGAGGCTAGAATGCATAAGTAGTCTGGCACCATCCCATTCAACAGTTCACAATTGATAAAATACACTCAGGGAACACGACCAAATTGGCTTCCTCGTGATTAAAGGGAATATACATCATTTGCTTTTGCTGTAATTTTCAGAAATGGATGGAATTGGGGGGTTGGAAATATATATCAAATATAGTTAGACTGACTTTTTTGAGGTTTTGGGTTCGAAAATGCTATAAAAACCAAGAAAAACAATCATTTTCCTGTAGTCTGGTTCCCTGACTCCATTTAAGAAGAAACAGAGCAGTTTACATATATTGGGGAATTGTAAGGTCAGGGAATCAGTCTAGCTGGCTTGTACCCGTTCATAGGTGTATAATCGATTGCAAACAAGTGCGATGGTCAACTGGGGCAAGTATTTGAAAAAAAGCCAGTTTTTTTCCAACGCTGATCGGCCGATCAGCGTTGGAAATTGATACAAAAATAACACTTTTCTTGAAAATGACAGTACACCAGGTGCCATGATTTTACAGGATGCTTTACACTGTCATTCACTTACAGTCCAGCAAGGTATTTCAAAATGATTTGGTAGTTTTATTTTTTGATGTTTGCAAATGATGTATTTTCCCTTTAAGGCCCATTGTCATAGTTCTTCAGCTATAAAGTGTAACCTTACTTCTGATTGGACTTGGGACTGGATGAATTCAGATTTGACTTTCCATTTTCTAATGTAAAATCTCCATCACTGAGGATACCTTTCTCTATTCTCTCCAAACAGCCCTGCACTGCCCTTGACTGCCAGGGAAGCCTTCACATGGACATGATGTACACCAACTTCCACGCTCTGCCCATCGACCACTTTGCCAGGGACTCTAAAACCTACACTCCACCCCCTGTCAAATTCACCAGTAGCCCCGCCCTCATTGGAGGGAGCGTCCTGCTGACGCTCAACCGCGACAAAATTGACGTGGAGGTGTTCGGGGCCATCGGAGAGACAACGGAGAAGCTGGTCTCCATAGTAACCGGGGCTGAAATCCTGGAGAAGTTGCGCCACACGCAGGATGGGCGCGATGTGCAGTATTTTGTGAAGTCCAACGACGCGGAGGACGACTTGGACGCGCTGGATTTGATTCCGGAAGTTGCAAGCTTGAACATGATTCTCAATGATGGGAGAATGGTGGTGGCAGCAAGGTCGTCACCTCAAGCCAATGCCACGATCATTACGCTACGGACGGAATACATAGCCTGGAACTTCATGTACGGTATCACGTCAGACGCTGCCAGAACTATGGTGCTAGCCCAGGCTAAGGATGTGGCCATTGCCCAGGCCTGGCAAAAAGAGAAAGTCAACATTTTGAACAACCGGCGGGGCACGATCAACTGGACCGCCGTGGAAAAGGCGGCCATCTTACAAAATGGCTTCCTGCCCACCTATGAGGGGCAGTACACACTGGACCCAACGGTCTTCCCAGAAATGGCCTTTGATGGAAATGCCATACGACTCGTCAGGGTGCCTCAAAATCTACAAACGTAGCATTGACGCAACTTGGACAAGCCTGAGGAAACTATTGGCGTCTTTCTCGAAGTTCCACATGCTGTTTATAATTCAGCAGATGTTTTCTGAAAAATAGCGTGTCGTTATGTAGCACCTCTGCTGGAGTAGTATCCATCACCTTCACGGGCCATTGAGTCCTATAGTGCTTCCATAGAACTGAGATGATTTCAAAGATGCAAGCTTTAAGGACTGTCAATCTCAGCTGGATTTTTACCACTTTGGTTCTTCAAAGATGAAGAATAATGCAAATTTGTTAACCGCACCAACGGCTACAAGTTTCAATTGTAGAGTAGCCTTATGCTTTTCAAAAGAAAACATAAAACTGAGTGAAGGAATGTATTCAAGTCTTGTGACTGGGATGATGACATGGACAAGTTTCAGTAGAAGAGGCAATAAGGCCTGTTACAACATCTGCAAATGTGTATGAGAATTATCTCCTGCTACTCCATTGCAGTGTGTGTTGTGTTCACTGGAGATCAAAGAAGTAAAAAATATGCCCTGCTTCCTTTAATATGCAGGACCGTGTGATTAGCAATTTTAAAGGTCTACCTGCACTATTGCAAATCTCTACTTATCAAGAAGCTAACTTGGTGGAGGTTTTTTTTTTTACCTCTAAACCTGTCATCAAAAAGGGAGATCGCCTCAATATGCATTGCGAGATCTTAAATGAACTGTCTGCATTTTCTTGTGTGCTGTATTGACAAGACAACGCTACCACATGCATACTTAATGTGCCATATGTTTATATATATATACCATTTACGCTGCGAAAAAATATGTGCTTCTGATAATTCATCAGAATTTAATTTGTAAAAACTAACCGTTTTTTACCTGTACATGTGTATAACTATTATGATTGGTCATCAGTTTTCCAATCAAAAAAAATGTCGTGATTTAAATAAACTTGTGAATAAAAATATAATATGTAATTTAACTTTTGTGAGAAAAATCATGAAATGAAAGAAAAAAGTGTAATTTATATCAGATGTTCGTTTGAATGAATATGAAAAGTGGCAACCCTATATAAGGTTGAATTATAAGAAATTAGGACAAAAATTGTAAATAGAATTTAGATACACAATCAGTAATGCTAGCTTATTTGAAAACCACCATTTTTTATACTGGTGAATGACACATTTCAGCATATGGGAATAGTGGATTAACACATATGTAAATAGGTTTGGGAAAAAATGGTTGCAGAAGCGGGATCTTCTGTTTGATTTTTGTTAACTCAGCAATTTTGGTAAACAAAGCATTTGAAAGTCTGCTCAGTTTTGAGCATTATTGGAGGGTTTCTTGCGGCATTTTTATTTTGTGTTGACCTGTTAAATTTTATGTTTAAATGTAGATATAGTAATACTCATAATGTACATGTACTTATGATACATGTTTTGAACAGCGAACGTTTTGAACGTGTTTATTAGTTCAAGACACTTTAGGACAATTTTTCACATTTGTTATCATATTAGAAAGTAACAAATCACTTAATTGCATGACAATCATTTTTGAAAGATATTTCAAGAACTGCTGTAGGTAAAATAGGTAGAAGACGTGAATGACTTAAAATACTGACATTTTATTTATGTTGCTAGAGTATATGCCAAATTTATTTAAATGTAATGTGCATTTTAAACTAGGTCTTTTGTGTTTCAGTTTATCATGGAAAGTAGAATTTCTGAGTTTGCAAAAATGTGGGTTTTCCATAAAAATTGCAGACTCTGTGGTAGACAGTTATACAAGCAAAAGGTTGATATTTTTATACCTAAATAGTAAGCATGTACATACCTTTTATTAACAAAAACAAAGTAATTTGTATGTACAAATATGAAAGACAAAAGTTCTATTCATTGACATGTCCTTTATAAAGCAAGGGATTCATTGTCATATTGAATAAGACTGAAAATTGTTTTTTCCTGTATGAGTCTAGAACAACTGTTGCCATAAATTACACCTTGTTGAAAAGTCAGGGTACATACTTTCTCAGTTAGAAAAGTTCCCTTCAGTTCCTTCAAGTTAAACGGGAAAAAACACAGGGTACCAGACAATTAAAATCATGTATTACATTGTAATTACATCAGAGACTTGACAAGAATGTTCCTTGCATCAAATATATCTGATATTTCACGTTAGATTTCCTACTCTGTTCAGTCGGTAAGTGTAAGTGATTACAGTGCTATGCAATCTAAATTCTTATTTTATGTCAATCTTTAATTGTTATTTTAAAGCTGTATAAGAAATCCATTACAATATATAGGCTGCCATTTTACAGAGAAGTTTAAACAACATGTTTATACATTGTACTTGGCTGAACCTTTTCTTTGCTATGTTTAGTACTAAATTTGTATTTCGTGTCTTGTTTTTGCATGTTCTTATTTTATATGTATATTTTCTGGATGGTCTTGCATTGACTCTCATCCTGTGTGTTCTTTACAACAACTCTTAAAATACTTTAGCCAAAAATACTGTAGTTTATGTATTTCTACTCCTTTTTATGATGTGACTTATCTGGTAGAGTGGTGCTCATTTTATTAGATAAAAAAGCTGTGAATATTGTGCTGATAGTCGAACTTGATGTACATACTCTTCACTCATCACTTGTTAATGTTATCCCCGTATCTTTTTTCTTTACGTTGCAAAGGTTTTCAAAATGGCATGTGTATTCTGTATTATGCATCCTTGAAGTTTAGCTGGAAGTTTCCTCTAAAATAGCTGCTGTTTTTCTCTGTAGCAGCCTGGCTGGTAGTGAACTAAATTGCAAAATTGTTAATAATGATGTAAGCATTATTTTTGTACAGCGCTGATGTGGAGAAGGTTTAAGCCTTGTCCAGTTTTGAGAATAAATAATTGATAAAAAAAAATCAAGCAGTGTGGCTTTATGTAATTGTGCGTTCAAGTAATGATAAGCCTGCTAAAGAAGTGAGATTTTTTTCAAAAATGATAAGGTTTTTGCGTACATTCCGTCCACACACTTCATTGCATCAAATTTGAAGAGGTAATCCTTTCTGCATATTAACTCTTTTGTTCAGTTTTATACTTGCATATTTCATTGTCAGTTTTTCTTATTTAATCATTTAGATTCGTATAATTTTCTGTGATACTCGGAAAACTTCACAGATATCCAATTGCATTTTCAGGAAAGAGTTCTAAAAGATTTTAAGCGTATTCTAGAAAATAATACATATTCAGCATATTCTAATTTTGAAGTCCCTGAAGGCAGCTGATTGGTTCATCTACAAAAGCGGCTGGCTAATTGTATTGTAGCTGACCATATTTGGGTGGGCAGGCTTGCATATAATTAAAAGGCTCAATGGTTGGCGCATCAGCTGGCTGGAAGGACGCCATTTTGTTCCACGCCACTTCGTGAAGATATTTTTGCAAATTTTCATCTGATTTTGCCTTCTAAATGCCATCTGTGGAGCTTGCTGACGGCAGAAAGATATATAATTCATCTGTGAATTTACCTCCTGTTCGAGCAATTTTGACGCATTTCGACTAGAACAGGGAGCTGTCGCTTTCCTTTCCGGTGAAGTGTAACTACATGTGTATTTCCGTAAGTAAAATGAACATGTTCTACAACACGAGGTAAGTTCATCCCAGGGGATTTACACACTATTCGTAAAGCGTTTGGAACGATACTCCTTCCTCACAATTTATAAGAATTCGAGGAAACTACGGCATCAATATTCCAAATGTTAAGTTGTGTTTGCTGCCCTGTGCTTGGTAAAGAAGTGTATCGTGCTGCAAATTGTACGAGGTCATATGAGAAAGGGGGAAAAGAGTCCCTCAAAAAAAGTCTGGCATCACAAAAAATTGAATTCATTGAAAATGGCGCGAAATACGTTTTCGGTTGGTATTCAAGACGCCACGTGCAGGCGCGGTGGGGGGGGGGGGGCCTGTAGCCCCATTTTTTTTTTGGTCTGAAAAAGAGTTGTCAGAAGGGGGCACTTGTACACTATAAGTATTATATACATTATATTGTAGGATTTTATCAACGCTCCCCATTGAAAATGTGGTACGAGCCCCCCCCCCCCCCCCCCCCCCCCCCCACCTTTTGATTTTCGGTGGCCTAAGTGTCCCCAGAAAAAAAACGGTCTACATTTCAGCACGCCTCCCTGCAATAATTTCTGGATCCACCCCTGCTAGGGCCCCCCCCCCCCCTGCTAGGGGCCCCCCCCCCAAAAAAAAATATATATAGGCTTTAGAACCGTGCCTGACCATGTGGAACTTTTGTCATTTATAAAATAGTTTGTGACTATGATAACTTGGTTCACAATGCATGAATATCAACTGCAAATTTTTGGTTCCACATTGCCAAAACAAAATTATAAACTACCTTGTATATATGTCCAATGTTACTTTCATATCTTGAAATATTCAGACCAATATAATTAATGGTATTTGTGGTTACCAATCCCAGTGATTCTCCTTACTTAGCCATTCCCATGGCTATTTCGTCTATATTCCCAGGACATTTTAATGGTGTATTTTTCAGAAAACAAACAGTTCAAAACTAATGTGCAAGGAAAATAGTCAGAGGACATGCAGGACTAAAGTTTTAAGGCACATTATTTTTTTTGGGGGGGGGGACAATTTATCAAAACTTAACTTGTGATTATGAGGTTCTCAAATAATTGCTCTCAATGTGAATGTATCTTGCTATCACTTCAGTTCTAAAAATGTAACCTCATTTTTTTAGTCTACAAATAAAGCAGTCTTTTTTCCTATGAAATGCTGGAAGGAGGTTCTCAAAATTTGCAATATCTTGGTTTTATGTTATCACTCATTCAAACAGACTGGGACCTTGAGTGCAGAAAAACATGCAAACAAAATCTGGGGAAATTTACGCACTCTTTAGCTGACAAAGCTCTCCAAAAGTTTCATGACAAAGACAAGGTCCTCAGTATTTCACCAGCCAAGTTTGGGTTCTCGGTTCGATTTTTAAAGGCAACTTTTCTTCAACAATTTTTCACCTGAGACTGAGAGTGGTGAAGCCTTAGACTCTCAATATGTTGAGAGTCCCACATTATCGGACTACCATTCAGGTATTACAAAGTTCCAGTATTGCCCCTGGGTGGGGAAAAGCCATTTTGAAATGCCTTGCCCAATTAAATCCCTATATTGAATTCATAACAATGCAACCTTGATAATTGTTCTACAACAAGATTATTAACTTGATTCATTGCTGTTTGTTAATTTTGCATCCATTTCTGGAAATGTGCATTGTATTTCTGTCACAGTTATAATTGGAAAGCAATATAATTGGACCTCAATTGGAACTCACATCTTTAATTAAATAAACGGTATATGTGTAGAAGGGTGCTTGTGCTAGTTGCCATGTGTTCACATTATGCATTATCTTTTTTTCCCCACTGTACACACACTAAACATTCATGTCAGTCATTGCAAAACATGAACCAAAAAATTGAAGATTTGAAATAAATTTCAATTCCAAAACAAACGTGTCTTTGTTTCATGGGGGGGGGGTAAGAAAAGGTAAGTATGGGGAATGCTAAGAAACAAGTTTGATCTTACTCTCTATTACATTCTTGGAACCCAATCTTCAGAAAATGTATGAAATTATCAAGAAATGTTTTGGTGACTATGGTAAAACAACAGAAACTTGTTGGAACAAATTTAAATGGTATAAGTTTGCCCAAGTAAAAAAAATCTTACAAAATTGTAACTTGCCAGCCTGGTATCTGTAATTTGTCGGCTTTTTTCTGAGCCTATTAATTGCAGAAATCACAAAAAGGTCCATTTCTAACATCAGCATTTATCTCGTTTGTGTAATTTGTTTGGTTTTTTTATCATCAGTCATTTTAGCTTGGGAAACCCCAGCTCCAACGCTCACTGGGAATTCGACATATAGGTCTAGATGTCAATTTGCTGATTAGTATTGGAGCTCAGCTGGGGTTTCCCAAGCTACAGTCATTTAGCCTTTTTGAGAAATAGTGGACACAACCTGAGGGTGCTGTGTAGTGTGCATAAACTCTTTATATTTACTCAAATGTACCCGCCCTAAATAGTGCCCTTGCATTGTGTCCATATCTCCAAGATGCTAAAGGCATAACTGGCATTAAATATATTTGTGCTCAATAAATTCACACAACTTATACCTGAACGAGTATGTACCTCACATTCTGCACTAAGATAGATCTAATTGTATAGAATGCCAGCATTTCCAAAAAGGAAACAAACAAAAATTCAAATTGACAGTCAAAATTATAATTCCCCTCTACAAATGTGATTAACAACACATTATGCATTGAGTTCATGAATTGTTTGTCATGGAATTCAATGCCTAATCCCCCCCCCCCCTTCTGGAGCTGTTTAAGTTTGTTTGATTTTAAAACTTCTATGAAAGTTTTGCTGAGTATCTTTTTGTCATATTTTCATGATCACCCTGGATAATATGCAAAATGTATACTTGGGAAAAACTTGCATTGTACTTGCTTGTGTGGTGGCATCCTATACTTGTTTAGTAAATTTTAAAAAGATGGAGAAGAAAAAAACACAGAATGGAAGATTTCGCTTTGTTTCCCCAACAAATAAATAATAGTGGAAAACTTATCATCACTAAAGACCTTCAGTTACTGTAGAGAAAGCTTACAGTTACTCGCGACATTTAGTTTTTGAAAATAAAAGTGAATGTCTCCATATAAGTGGAAATCATTTATATATAACACTTTTCTACAAATTCTGTTGGGAGTCCAAAGTGAAATACATGTATCTCTAAACATATTTTTTTTTAACATGGCTGATTTACAAATCGGTGCACTATGCATAACTTTCCTCTCCCTTCTATATTTATTTTTATTTATTTATTTGTTACTTATTTTTTAATGTTATATTATTTGGGGGGGGGGGGTCTCAGGGGGGTACTAGATCTATTTACACCTAATTTTTTTGATTGTGTTATAATTTGTTCAATAACAGGGAAATATGTATTGCATTGTTCGAGCATGGTATAGACCTACATGAACTTTTTTTTCTCTTTCAGATTTGGGGGAGGGGGGGTATCTTTTATTTTTGCACTTTACAAAAATTTTTGGGGGGAGGGGGTGTTTGGTTGTTTTTTTCATTTAAATTTTTTTTATGGTTACCACCTCAACAGTATTGTAAAGGCTTTGGGGAAATTATTTCTTACTACTTAAACTTAACTCTTACAGAAACGCAACCAAAAAGAAAACATATTTTATGTGGTCATATTCCTTTCGTCAATTATCTAGACAAAAGTAAATTGACAAGGCCTTTGTTACTCAGTTACCCAGGAAAGAATCTTGTTTTCGAAAGACATTTTGATGTCCATGAAATTAAGAATGTTTGGACTAGCTTCACTGAGATACCCATCCCTTAAGTGGTTTAGAGATTGCAGGACTGAACTTCTTGTGGCAATGATTTTAGAAACTTGGTTGAATAATGCCAACCTCTTAATGATACTAGTAGACAGTGTCCTAGTTCTTCTGATGTCATCTGCACCCAGATCACCTAAAAGCACCCAATTGTCTCCTTACGCCTCTTCAACTTTTAGCAAATGGAGGCGTATGATGGTTGATCACAATGACACTCTCCGTGCCAAGGAACACATGGAAATCAGAGGCAGTTAGTCATATTTTCTTGCAACCAAGTAGCAAATGAATACCTGTGACGTAGTCCATAAGACATGATCTCTCTACCCATTAGCAAATGGGGACATCTGACAGTTCATCACAGAGATGTTCTCTCTACCTTATAGTAACAGACTGAGATGTATGTCAGCACATCACAACGATATCTCTCCACCAAGAAGCAAATTCAAAGCTGTCGCAATCTCTCCCCAACCAGCAACCAGAAACCTCTGGCAGTTCATCACAGTGAC